GAGGAGTCACTGTGAACCATTTAAACCCCATCGATGTCGACGAAGGCTCTGATTCCTGGAAACTCCCAGCGAGCTCGCTTGACGGCGCTGAATGCGTTTGAACGCTTTGCGGCGTCTGAGAACATGACCATGAAGACTATGTACAAGCTGATTGGTGACGATTCTACAGGAGAAGTACTCTACCTTGTGTTGGACAAGCCTGGCGTCTTTCTTGATTTTAAAGAAAGCTCGAAGGGGTCGTTGTTGTCTAAAACCTCCGTGGCCAGCTACTTTGGGAACGTAAAAAGACATCTTATAGAGCTTTACCCAGCTGTTGGGGCTGTGGCAGGTCGTCGTTTGCAGAAAATAGCTTCTGTACTGGACAAGTATTGCTCGAAGAGGAGTACTGAATTTACCCACCAAGCGCCTCCGTGCACCAAGAAAGACCTACGTCTTTTGACTACTGCAATACTGAGTGAGGCTACCCATGATGACGACTACAAGGATGCTGCACTTATGAATTTACTTTGGTATTTCCTGGGCCAGTCTTCACATACGATGTCTTTACTCAAAAGTCAAATAGCAGTTTACCCTGGTAGGTGCTACCTCATAATTTGTTTTTACCATTGATATTTTGGTAATTTTATTTTATTTTGCAGGAGGATGTATCTACATCAATTTTAAGCGAATGAAGTCTGCTAGCTGTCAAGGTGCTTCACTTTTTCACGACCGTGCAAACTTTGCATCTTGCCCTATTCACACAGTTGCCGTGGCCACAATAATGCAATCTACTCCAAGCGAATATTTGCTTGACCACCTCCCTCGCGAACCGGAAGACATCCATCAAATCCACCTAGGTGAGACGTCTCTAATTGAGCTGCTCGAAGCGAAGGTTGCCTCTGGAAGAGAAGAAGATGCTCTGAAGACCCAGCTTGAGCAGCACCGTTCCACTGTTCCAGGAATCCACGCGTACGTTAACCGATTGCTTCGAAAGTGGAGTGCTTTTTGCACAAAAGATGGAGCCGCTTTGGCGAAAGGGTTGTCATCCCATTCATTTCGGCGCGGCGCTGCTCAAAGTGCAAATGGTAGCAGCAGCATTAGTACCCCTTGGATAATGGATAGGGGCGGTTGGAGTATGACCGCGGTCAGTAAGGCCTTCAATTACATAGTGAACACAACGCAAGAAGATCAAGCTGTGGGAAAAACGCTTGCTGGATGGGATTAAAGAGTGACGCTCGTCTACCAACTTTTGAAGGCTTCGATGATGTAGTCGTCCGTCGGGTTCGTCTACTTCAAGGTCTCCTCTTTGGAATTGCTCAAGGATTCTCGGATACTCTTAGCTTACGCGATGACGCGGTGGAAGTTTTCATGGCGGTTATCATCTTGCATTATCACGACATGGTTCAAATGGCTCCAAGTTCCCCCTATATTGTACGTGTACGACAAGCATTAGGTAAGCTCCATATCACAGAAAGCGAGGTGGCCTCATGGTGCCTTACCATTCACAAGACCCTTATGCGTACACAACACGTAGATTCTCAACAAGCGGGTCGCGGCCAGACCGCTGAGACGAGAGCTGACGAGCTACTTCGCAAGCGAACCACGCTGCTTGAGCAGCAAACAAAAATTGTGGACGGCTTACTGAAGCAAGTCCGCCTGCTCAGCGACCGCGTACAGAAGCTTGAAGGTTCATCTTGTGGTCCGGCAACACCGCTTCCAGTACCACCGCTTCAACCTGGTGCCAGCGATGTCAATCGACCAGCAGCAAGGCTCGCCGCTGCTGGTCGAAGGAAATCAGGACCCAAGTCGCTAACGGCAGTGTGGCTCGAGTGGTTCTGCAAGTTGGAACCCTATGCACATGAAGACCGTAGACGTTACCATGAGATGAAAGTTACGGTTGCATTTATGCGTTTATTCTTACCGAATGGGTATGACGCCACTGGGAACTGCGCTGCCGACAAAGAGCGAATTCTAGAGACTGGTCGTGAAGCTGAAGCGAATATCCGAGTCCTGCTAGATTCACATCACAAGAAGGCGAAATCGTACGGGACTGTGATTAGAGCTCTAAAAGAGATGCACGAGGCGGGCAAG